TATATATATATATATATATATAGATGAAGGAATCACTGAATCACATAAAACATAAAAAGGGTCCTTTGTTTATAGACAATATTTTGGGTCCAAGATCATTTCAAATAGTGTCCAAATTGGAAGAATATGCTATTTTTCGTAGGTTAACAGATTTCTGCTGCGTTGAGTGATTAAAACTTTGGGATGCAATTATTTAACATATGAGCCAAATTAAATGTATTAGAATTTAGAAGGGATTTGGCGGTTACTTTATGGTCACATAATGGTGTGGCTATTCATAGCCGAATATCAACATCAACCATACTTGTAGTTTAGGTTACCATAAAATATTCGTGTGGTATTGTTCCATAACATTGACTTGGTTTGTGCTTTACGGAGTGGCTAAACATCAATTAAGAGTATCAAATTGGTGGTGGATCACCACTCACGTAGCATAACTAACATCAAAATTTTAAAATGGTCAAACTTTTGCTGTATTTGGATCGAATCTAGTAAACTTTGGAATTATTTTGGACAATTTAGTTAAAGAATGTTGATAGTGAAAAACTTTTCTGCTCTATTATTCAATGAGTTTAATGGCTGAGTTAAAAACTATACAATATCACCCGAATAAAAATCACGCATTTTGAGATAATTATTTTAAAAACCAACAAATTTACCATATTGAATTTATTTATGATTAAGTGATAACATAAAATAATTGTTATTAGTACATAACTTATGTTTTCTTATTTAGTTATGAATTTCGCATATTAAAAAATATTAGTTTTTTAATAGTTACTTTAAGTCGATAATTTTTAGTTAAAAACCTTATTTCAATTATATATGGTGGAAAATCAATAATAGTACCCGTACACTCTACTCATAATTAGCATGCAAGAATTTTAGGTGGGTTAATTAACTAACTTAATGATCAGATGCCTCCTTATAATGTAAATAACTATTTGATTTTATCTAAAATCCAAGTGTTATATTTAAACTAGTAAAGTTGTTAGGAATTATTTTATTATAAATACCATTTTACATTCTATTTGACAAATAAGTCAAAGATCATTTTTAAAAGTTTTTCAAGATTAAAGATAGAGAGAAGTTGTGACGTCACAGAAGAACCTGAGTTTTTCAAGATTTATCTAAAAGTTGAGATATAACTATTATTATTGAGGAAAAGGAAACACTTTTCCAATGATTTCTTTCCTTTTTACCTTAGGATTGATGGTATTGACTTGATCTTTGGAGAACGGGTGGTTCTTACAAGGATTGCATTAAGTTTCTAATTGGAAAGGGAGAAGAAAAACTCATTATTTGAGAGGACTATTGATCAAGGTTCTAGTGTTGAACGTGTTTCCGAGAATTATTGAATTATATATGGTAAATAAATATGAGGGCTAGATGTATTTCTTTAGGATTGAAAGTAAATTAATATAAAATTATTGTGCAGTGAAGGTTCACACATACATGTTTCTATGTTGACATTGGATTGTCTACTTTAAATTTAAGCTCTTCATGGATTTACTTTTAGTCATCATCTAAAAAACATCATACTAATGGAAGCATTTGTATGTTTATAAACCAATGTTTCTCTTTTTGTTATAATGATATGAGATTTTGATTGTAACCCAATAACCTTCCATTTAAACAAAAAAACATGATTTTAACATCCTCTTTTAGTAAAAGTCATATTTTTTGGTCCAAAAGTATCTAATGATGACCCATAAAACTTAATCATACTCTAGTACTTGCAAACACATCCTTATGCTTTGTTTATTATGTATATCACGGTTTTGAAAATTGTGGATGGTGGTAAAACAATTTAAGATCTATAGAACGAATTTTTTTTAAGTGTTATTCAATTCATCATCCTTTTCAGTAGATCGTTTATTTTAACATATTTCACTCCTCAATTCATTCATTTACAACACATCACTACAACAAACATTATTATTAGCAACAATTATTTAATGACAATAAATTAATTGTCTATATTTTATTATATAATAAAAATATTAATGACTAATATATAACAGATACTAAAAATATATTTACTGTAAGATAATTATGTCTCATGTGGGAAATATGTAATATATAAAGGGACTAATAAATAAATAATTAAATAATTAAAGACTAAATCATAAATGGGTTTAATGGAGCATTTATGAGAATAATTGTTATTTGATGGAAATAACAATCTTTAGGGGTAATAAATATCCACTAATGTGAGACAAGGTCCACACCCCTGACAGAAAGTATTCTCTCAAACCCTAGTCATCACGAAAGATAGAGAGAGTAGAAAGAAAAGTCAAAGGGAGTGAAATCTTAGTTCTTTTCTAGAAGATCAAAGCACTCTAAGGATCAAAGGAATTTTTTACTATGGAGAAAGATACACACTTTCTTATTATTATGTGAGTATCATGAATTTCAAAGATCCTTTAATTTTCTATAATTGATGTATTAGAAAATCATAGAACTTACATGTGGCATCAAAGCCAGGTTTTGAAATTGAATGATCCTCCGTGAATGATATGTGTTGTAAAATTGTATAATTCTCCATGAATGTTATATAGTTATATATATACATATATAACGATTTTGCAATGATCTAGAAGACATTGTCAAATTAAGAAATTTCAAGCAATTTTTTTCTCACCGGAAGTGAGATAATTGTACAACAATGAAAATAAAAGGATATTTTCTCACCCGAAGTGAGATAATTGTACGACAATGAAAATAAAAGTATTTTCTTCACTGAAGTGGGAAAATATTATGAAAAGTAAAAAGAAAAAGGATAGATAAATAAACGAATATTATATTTGATCCTTTGAGTACCATCAGAAGTGGAATAATTTTATCAAGGTCATTGTTGCAATATGAAAATGATGTTTGGGACAATTATCCCAATTCATATGAACCCTAATTTTATAAATTAGGAATTATGGTTTAATTTTCTGCTGCATGTTGTTTGTTTGAATCATGAATGAAATTCTTAATTTTAAATTATAATCAATGCATTAAATCCCACATTATCGAAATCCTAATGGCAATCGTAAAAGAATTATTTTTATGAAATCGAGTGATTGAAAGAAAGTTTCCTTTTTTGAAATGCATGAATTTGTATTTTAAATTGGAAAGAATTGATTTTTTCCTTTTAGTCAAATTTTGGAATTCGTGACTGCACATTCTACCCTTATGTATTTCAAAGTAGAAATTAATATTTCAAATTGGAAATAATTGATTTTTCCTTTTAATCAAATTTTGGAATTTGTGATTGCGCATGTTACCTTCATGTATTTCAACGTAGAATTTCAATGTTCTCAATTTCTAAAGTATGAAGTTTTATTTTACTTTTTTTTTATGAAATTCATGAATGACTTTAAATTGGGACTAGTAAAGTTTTTATTTACTTGGAATTAATTGTATGATGAATTTGTTAGTCACCAAAGTGGCTAGATTTTATATTTATTTAATTCTAAATTAATGGTGATTTAATTCAATTACCCATAGAATAATGGATGCTAAATAAAATAATTGTTTGTTTATGGGTATATTGAAATTCATTATTATAAGACATTTATGTATCGCCCAAAGGTTGATTAGTTGTTCTCATAATTAATGAATATAATTGTGTGTGACTTATGTGTGCTATTAAATTATTTATATACCCAAAGGTATTAGATAATTTTAATTGGTGCATGTTTAGTTGCAAAATAATGATTAAATTTATTAGCATCATTATGTTTGTATGTTGTGTGTTGATGTATCACCCAAAGGAGAGCATCAATATACTATTGATTGATGTTTGTATATATTATATGTGTAGCATGTGCTTTATGTCTCAAAACACTCATGTGAAATTTTATTATAAAGTATTTGTTCCTAATTCACTGAATTCTCTTGTAGCATCTGTTCCAATTTTAATAGGCTTAACTTCTGACTGGAATGAGCAAGTTTAATTTTCACCTCGGTGTATTGGATTTAGACCTTGCTATATTGGAAGAGAAACGTGCTGTTATTATTGAGTGTAGCGATGAAGAGAAAGCCTATTATAAAGTTTGGGAAAAGTCTAATAACAGATTTTGCCTAATGTTCATGAGAATGATTGTTGCTGACAGTATTAAGACAACTCTTCCCAAAACTGAAAGTGATAAAGATTTATGGGATTTATGGGAGATTGCTCTCAAACAACTGATAAGTCTTTTGCTGAGACACTAATGAGTACATTAATCACCATGAAGTTTGATGGTTCATGTACTATGTATGAGCATGTAATTGAGATGACAAATATTGCAGCAAGACTTAAGTCTTTTAGAATGACTATGAATTAGAACTTCCTTAGGAATGTTCTGCTTTCTTGTGGCATAAACGTTTAAGTCACATTTCTAGAGAAAGAATGGAAAGATTAATAAAAAATAAAATTCTTCCAAATCTAGATTTTACGGATTTAAATATTTGTGCGGATTGTATAAAAGGAAAACAAACAAAACATACAAAGAAAGGAGTTACAAGAAGTACTCAGCTTCTTGAGATTGTGCATACCGATATATGTTGTCCTTTTGATGTCAATTCTTTCGGAAAGAAAAAAAAAACTTCATTACCTTTATAAATGACTATTCACGTTATGGTTATGTTTATTTATTGCATGAGAAATCTCAAGCAGTCGATGCCTTGTAAATTTGCTTGAATGAAGTAGAAAGACAATTAGACAAAAAGGTGAAAGTTGTAAGATCTGATAGAGGTGGTGAGTATTATGGGAGATATAATGAAACTGGGCAACACCCAGGTCCATTTGCTAAACTTCTTCAGAAACGTGGCATTTGTGCTCAATATACAATGCCAGGTACACCAC